GAGACAGAAAGCGAGAAATCACCCCCCAGGGGGGATGGCCACGCTGCAATTCCTTCTACTCCGTTCTCCTCTTGGGATCTTGGGCACGCACGCACATGCACCCGGTGTGAGTTTTAAGCCACTGGGTCAGGGCCTCCAACCGTGGTCGACTACGTGGGAGTCCAGTGACATAGCCATCACACTAACTGCCGGTCCCTGAAAAGTTTTTTTTTAATTTTTTTTTTTAAATTTTACCAGAGAAAGAGAAAGAGAGAGAGAGAGAAAGGGAACGCGAGAAAGCAAACCACCAGGTCTGGGACTTGAGCTGTGATAGACGTGAGGATCCAACATTACAACCATCACACCACCTGCTGGCCCCGAAAAACTTTTTTAAAAAAGAATTTTTTTTAGTGGCATAGGGGTTAAAGTAGCCAGATCCCACCTTATTCATAATTATGGAAATCAATTTATCTGGGAACGAAACTCCTACAATAAACCAACTATGGTAAGCTAATGCTATATTTTATACTTGTTAGAAAAATAATTAGGATTAATTCTTATTCATAATAGGTAATTTACAATAGAACATAGGGATCAGCAGTTAGCATAATGGCTATGTCACTGGACTCTCATGTAGTCTACTGTGGTTCCAGTCCCAGACCCGGTGGCTTAAACTTACGCCAGGCATGTGTGCGTGCATGCCCAAGATCCCAAGAGGAGAATGGGGGAGAAGGGATTGTGGTGTGGCCATCCCCCGTGGGGGGTGATTTCTCACTGTCTGTCTCTCTGTCTCTTTCTGTCTTTCTGGTGAGGGCATGCACTCTTTAGCAAAAACCTCTCAAAAAAATAATAAAATAAAATAGAATATATTAAAATGTTGATTTATGATTTTTAGGCTACTTGTTCTTGAATTACGCTTTGCTTAAATTAATACAATATGGTTTATTTTTAGAATTATTTACTTAATTCCATTTGTTATCGTTATTTTAAAAATTTTGACCAGAGAGAGATAGGGAAAGCAAGAAAGCAAGCCACCAGGTCCGAGACTTGAACCACGGTAGGCCATATGGGAATCCAGCACCTTCAACCACCATGCCACTTGCTGGCCCCAATGTGGTTGACATTTCTAAGCTCATACGCAGTTCAGAAGTATACTGAAAAGTTAGAAAGAAGCTATCCTGGGGGACTAGCAGGTGGCGTAGTGGTTAAGGTGCTGGACTCTCCCATATAGCCAACCACAGTTTGAGTCCTAGACTTGGTGGCTTGTTTTCTCCTTTCTCTCTCTCTAGTCAAATTAAAATGAATGAATGAATAAATAAAAATTTAAAAAAGAAAAATAAAGCTATCCTAAAAGTACATTTCTTGAGTGTAATCTACAAAGTGAAAAAGTCAAATGTTTTTAAAATTAATGCATTTTATTTTATTTTATTTTATTTTATTTTAGGTTTTTGCCACTGGGTATGTGCACTTGCTGGAGAGAGACAGAGAGAGGGAAAGTAATAAATCATCCCCTAGAGGGGGATGGCCACCCCACAATCCCTTCTCCTCCATTCTCTTCTCAGGATTTTGGGCACGCATGCTCAGTGTGAGTTTCAAGTCACTAGGTCTGCAACTCAAACTGTGGCCAACCATGTGAGAGTCCAGTACCTTAACTGCTATGCCATCTGTTGGCCCAAATTTAATACAAGTCTAATCATTACTTGACCTTAAAAATTGCATTGACTAACTTACCTCTTTTCCTGTAGTACTTCCGTCATGACGGGAAGAAATTTTTCAAATCGGATGTATCCAGTGGGTTCTTCTTCCTCTACCTAACATTCAATAAAGAAATTGGCATTTACTGATTAAAAAATGTACTGAGCAACTACTTTTTCCAAGTATTGTGTGAAGTGCTGGGGATTTGATGATGAGCACACTTGGGCATGATCCCTTATCATAGAGGTTATATTCTGTAGAAGAGACATGTATTAATCAAAAAGCCACAAAACTGAGTGTTTAATTATAAACTTATGTAAGCATAATGAAGTGAAAGAGGATGTATCTACAAGAGCATATAATTAGGAAAACTCTTCTAGACCAGAAGATCAGGGGAACCATTCATGAGGAAATAATACTCCAGCTTATTTATAAAGGATGAGTAGGAGGTAGTGAGACAGAGGTGGAAGAGACTCCCACATAGATGAAATTATAATACATGCATGGACACTGTGGTAATCCATGGAGCCATGAGGCTGGAGAGCATTTCAAAGTGAGGTTGGAGAGAGAGAGAAAGACCTAGGTAGCAAGCCTTGCAGGGCCTTATTCATGAAAGTGACTTTGGTTGTTATCTTAAAAACAATGGGAAATCATGGATGATCTCATAGGTGTGTGTGTGTGTGTGTGTGTGTGTGTGTTTTATTATATTTTTATTTTATTTATTTATTTTTATTTGACCAGAGATGAACAGAGTGAGAGAAAGAGAGAGGGAAAGTGAGAAAGCAAGCCACCAGGCCCAGAACTTGAACCATCATTGCCAAATGGGAGTCCAGTACCCTTAACCACCATGTCACCTGCCAGCCCCATAGATGTGTTCTGAAAGATTGCACTGGTTGTGGGTGATGCGGTTTCTTCAGTAGCCTTAGCAGATCTGCTGAGGACTTGGGTCGGAGTGGAGCCATAGAGAGAGAGGTGGACAGTTTCAAGAAATATTTAAGAAGTAAAATTGTTAGAACCTGGTGCCGCATCTGTTATGGGTAAGGATGAGAAAAAAGAGGAGTCAAGGAGGACTCCCAGGATTCAGACTTCATAAATGAGGTAAGATGATGCTTCCCCCCAGGATAAGGAACACTCAGTAAGGCAGCAGGTTAGGGGGCCAATCATCTCAAGGACCAAACTACATCTCAAATCATTATCATATTTATTAATTTAAAGTTTTACTTATTGTAGTCATGATAGAAAGCATGTGCATGCATGAGGGAGATAGAGAAGAGCTCTCCATTTTTGGTACCTAGCACTATTAGATGGTCCCCTCATGCTATGATCCCCTTTCCCCAGCCTGCCAGCCTCATCAAGATCTTAGGCATGCATGCAAGTACTCAGCATGGGGATGCAAACCCATGGTCAGCCACATGGCTTTCAGCACTGCATTCAGTTTATCATCAACTACATGGTTGCCATGTCCGCATGGCTAAACAAATGTCATGCCTGAGGTGGGGGTGGCGGGGAGCTGCCATGGATTAGAGAATAAACAGAAATAAACACACAAAGACATATAAGTAAAGAAAAGCAGGAATTGGGTGGTCCTGACTCCTCTGATGGAGGCAGCCGTGGCCCTGAATCATTCCCAGGCTTATTGTAAAGGGCAGAAAAGGGGGAAGGAGAAGTGGAGTGCAAAGCCAGTCGTTTTCAGATGTTAATTGGCTGAAGATTTTTTTTTTTTTTCTATAGAGCATGTGCCCTCACCAGAAAGACAGAGAGACAGAAGACAGAAAGTGAGAAATCACCCCTCCCCAGGGGGGATGGCCACGCCGCAATCCCTTCTCCTGTTGGGATCTTGGGCAAGCACGTACACAAGCCCGGCATGAGTTTAAGCCGCCAGGTCCGGAACTTGAACCGCGGTTGGCTACATGGGAGTTCAGCAACATAGCCATTATGCTAACTGCTGGTCCCTGTGTTTGTTTATTTTTAAAGAATTATTTTATTAATGTTATTTATTTTAATTTGACCAGAGAGGGACAGAGTGAGAGAAAAAGAGAGAGGGAGAGAAAGAGAGAAAGCAAGCTGCCAGGTCTGGGACTCGAACTGCAGTCAGCAATGTGGGAGTCCAACTCCCTTAACCACCAGTGGATGCCACCTGCCAGCCCTAGTGTATTTACATGTTAATGGCGTTCATTGCCCTGCATCTGACTGTCCATGGATCTGCATTTGGTAATATTTCTGTGGCCAAAATCAT